TATATATATATATATATATATCCCAAGATCAACATCAAAGCCCTCTGTCCAGAAGAGTGCAGTGCTAGGAACAGCTAAGATACTGCACAGAACCCTCAAACCAGAGGACCCAAGATTGAGGAAGACACAGACCACCCATAGAGGTGGGAGGGGACGTTTTCTTTCTTTCTTTCTTTTTTGGTACATATATACACACATTCAAAGAATTGCATCAATTTAACACATAACTACCACATTTTTGCCCTAGACTGTAATCTATATCTCAGGTAATTTTATTTTCTTAGATTTATGCAGTATAAAGTTCTAAAACAGATGCTCATTCATTAACATTCTAATTTAAGTTCCTATTTGCTGTAACATGAAAACTGAAAAGTAAGTAAAAGAGGTGTCAGTCTATTATCCTAAATAACTGTCACTCAACAATTGTGTAGCAGCATTTTTTAGGCAACTTTTTTTCCTTATACTGTTTTCTTACCAAACAATATGTGTGTGTGTGTATACACACACACACGTATGTATCTTTTTAAATTTATGAATCTGCTTTAATAGAAAACTCTTTCATAGACTTCTACTTTGTTTTTACAGTATATAACATCAGAATGTATAGCTACAGTTGTTACAACATGGCATAAGCCCCTATACCATGAATGCAATGTTAACCAGCCAGATGTTAAATTATTGACAAAAACCAACAATTCAAAACCCAGAAGCTTTCGTGCTAAAATGGTAATGTTTTAGTATCCTGACTAATCTCTAGGTTCATATTAGCATTATTTAATATACTTCCTGCTAAATAGGAGAATGAAACAAAGTATATAATCACAGCCATATAAATTTAAAAATTCATGCGTTCCCAGCATGAGGCATTCTGAAATGTACACTTTTTTTTTTTAAAGAAATTAATCTTTAGTTTGGTCAATGACCAGCCTAAAGTAACATTACTTGATGACAAGTCACAACCATTCCAATGAACAGTCCAGCATATACACTGCAAAAAAATAACTAAAATTTAGAATTATTGACAACTATAAAAACACAGTCTCTTTAAAAAGATTATGAAACCTAGAGTGTAATATTATATAGTATAAAATTATGTGATATATTAATATATAAAACTATGGAAAAATAGGTAACAACCAATATTACTAATTGGAAAGTATAAAATCATATCACTAAATTCTATGTGTAACATTTTAATTAGTATTGATATTAAATTATAATACAGTGCAGTATATACTAGTGTGGTGTAAAGGTTACTATATAAAAAGCATTAGCAGTAAAAACTTTAAGGCTACTGCAGCGCATATACTGAAGTGCAATTTGGACTTTTATTTAATATTAATCTAAGCAGTGTTATTTTTAAAAATATTTTAAACTCCACAACAAATTCATTGCAATCTAAAAATATCCATCCTCTGCAGGAGAAAAGAGTTCCCTTCAATTGGTTACAAACACCAATTACTTGGTCAAAGTTATGTTTATTACAAGCATAGTTATTTTGTAAATATAGAATAGTGAAAATAGCATGAAACAATTTGGTTTTAGGAAACAGTCCATCAAGAATTCAGAAATCTAATAATCTTTTCTTACAGAAGCATCTATAGGGAGTTGTCTGGCTTCTTCCCTGCAAGGGAGGTAGAACTTAAAATTAGTGATAGCAAGGACAGAGTCATCAGCTTGCCACTGAATTAAAGAAATCTAGGCCTAATTGTACTTCTCAACTGATGCTGATGGTTAAAATACTATCTTTGGAAATGGTTGCTTAAAAAGAAAAGCAAATCATGTAAAGAAAAAGTTGCATTCAATTTGGCACCTACATAAAATTCAAGAAATCAGCTTTTATGTTAGTAAATTATACTTAGCTAATGCATAAAGATAAGCCACACCATACTTTATACTCAACTGATGTTTTAAAACGGTTAAATTATACATACTGCAAAATAGGATATTATCACAAAATCTTAAGTCAATTTTTCTACAAAAATGACTACTGATTCTAAAAGCCATCTGTGAATATGGCCACAATTTTAAAAAGACTGTTTCATAATTATGATCTGAACAAAAAACAGTTACGATTTTTTCAATACATTTTTCTTGAAAGTTTAGAAAAAGTATTTTCTTTCAATCAGCCATTTCAGTTGTGAACCAGTAAGTGAATTATTCCATATGCCAATATTGAAATTTGCAGTTGTTCAGA